GCGCCAGCGCCAGCGCGCGGAGGAAGCAGAGACGGAGAGTATCGCCGCCCCGGGTACGAAGAGAAAGAGAATCGGGGAAGCGGCGGGGGGGGGGGAGAAACGGCGACCGGACACTGCTGTAGAAGCGAGTAGGGCGGCCAAGGCCGCGCTTGCGGCGAACGACGTAACCAACTGATGATGTTGTCGCACCCTGTGTTCCCTTTTCCCTGCCGTAAGCTGTAGGCTCTTAGTATTGCCTCCGGCCTCTCTTTGTGCTTTCCTTCTTTCTTTCTTTCTTGTTCTCCATGCCCTCTCTACGATGATCTTGGACGATACCTCGAGCTCCTTGTTATTTTTGTTTTTTCCTTTGCTGGCTGCCTGCCACCTCTGCTGCCTCTTTGGTGCGGTGCCTACCCTACACTAATGCGCTGGTGCATACTGCACTGCTGTAGTACCTGTTACTGGTGTACGTTGTCCTTCGATTTTTTATTTTTTTTGTGGGAATAATATATAGACTATGTGCTTGTTTTTCGCCCCCCGTCTTGCTGCACCCCCTGGGGTGTGGTGCAGGGCGGGGGATGCCTGGTCGGCGGGAACCCGGCACGGAACCCTCCGGCGTTGTAGGCGGGTGTGGGAAGCGTTCCCCGTTCTCCTTTTATTTTTATTTTATTTTGATCGGTCTTCTCGACGCTCTTTCTCGTTTGTTTGGTGCGGTAGCTGGTCTTTCTTTCTATCATTTTGTTTCTCTTCCGAGTGGTTTTTGTACCCTATTTCTGTTTCTTCGTGGGGTCGTGTATGCCGGGTTTTGAGACCACGGGCTCCCAATCTTTCTTTTTTAGAGCTAATGTGAGAAACAACAACAACAAACAAACACGTGCGGTCCAGCAGAACCAGAAAGATGGCAGCTGTACAGGGGAAGTCCGGCAGTACTAACAGCAGTAGTGTCGAGGGTGCTGGTGCTGCTGGCGATTCGTTGGGTGGGAATCCAAGTGAACCGGTGGCTGAGAGCGTGCCAGTATTGTACAAAGCCCACCGGAGACTCAAGCCTTGGTCGACGCTAGCAACGGCAAAAAAACTGTGCAAGTCACACTTTTCTACTTTTCTGCTTTTTTTCTTGTTTATTTACTGGTTTTCTTGTTTTCTTTTTTCTTCGAGAGTACCAGAGTACGCCTTGTCGTCTTGGCATGCTGTTCCTGGTTTCCGATCGCATCGATCTGTCCGTCTGTTTTCTTTTCGTGTTGCATGTTCCCGCGTGGCTGCTCAGTTTTTCAGTTTGTCAATTTGACGATCTGATCATATCTTGATGGCGTGGTCTTTGAAGGAAATACCGTCAACCGCCAAAAGCACCGTCATTACCGTCATTTTGCAGTACCGCCGAACAGGAACCGTCAAATAACGGAGTACCATCAACCGTCAAAAGTGGTACCGTCATATTGCGGTACCGTCAAAAAAATACCGTCATACTGCGGTACCGTAAAAAAAGTACCGTAAAAAAAATGAAGTACCGCCAACCGTAAAAAAAGTACCGTCATTTTGGAAAATCGCCGAAAAAGTACCGGCAAAGTCGGCGGTACCGTCAACCGCCCAAAAAAGTGGTACCGTCAAAAAACGAAGTACCGTCAAACCGCGAAAAAACTACCGTCATATTGCAAACCGTCCCGTTTTGTGCCCGTCAAAAAAACTGGTACCGAGGACTACCCTGAATTTTTTTCAACAGCAGGCTCTTTGTTGAGTAGCTTTGTGCGTCGGTGCCTTGGCGCGCGGGGTCCCTTGGTTGGGAAATAAAAGAGCCAGCGGCGCGGTAGCAGCCAACGGTACAGTGTAGGAACTATGATGGGCGTGACAGCCTTCTACTTTGGGATGGAGCGTGATAGCTCGGGTATGGTATCTCTGGATGTGGCGTGGAAGCCTGGTGACGTGATAGTCGTGATTGTGTAAAGGAATATACATGTAAGGACGGACGTGGATGTCCGGAAGGCGTGATAGCCGGGTGGCATGATAGCCAGGATTGGCGTGGAAGTCGTGGCGTGATAGCCGTGGTAGCGTGTAGCGTGGTAGCCGGGGAAAAAGGACTTGATTGCACACAGGAAGGAGGAAAAAGAGGAAAGAAAAATAAGTGAAAAACCACAAAACACAATCACCATATCCGTTGTAGACACACACACACATACCGTGGAAGTCGTGGCGTGATAGCCGTGGTAGCGTGGTAGCCGGGGAAAAAGGACTTGATTGCACACAGGAAGGAGGAAAAAGAGGAAAGAAAAATAAGTGAAAAACCACAACACACAATCACCATATCCGTTGTAGACACACACACACATACCACCTCTTCCCCTCCCCGGCCTGCTCCCCGGCCGG